ACAAGGCAATTAAAAAAATAATAGCCAACTCGATTTTTGGCTTGTTGGAAAAAAGTAAGAACAGCAGTCAGAGATCATTCGTTTTTAATGATCTCAATGAGGCGATCAGCCTTCAAGCAGATGCAGGGGGGAAGTTAAACATGATGAGCAGGAATACTGCCAAGTGGGTTGAGGAATATGATGATAATGGCATGTGGTGCCGTGATAGAGAAGTATCTGAACAAAACGACAATTTATATTATATTCTGAATGTGGTTGACAGGTGCGAGTTGTGCAATGGGTTTCGTTTTATTAAAGAAATGCTTTTGCAGTATCATAATTTCAAAATGCAATGCGCATATCAAAAATTGACAGAGAACAATGTTAAGGTATTGAGTGTCAAATGCGACGCTTTTGTCGTGGACTGTTCGGGTTTTAATAAGTTTGGTTTGAGAAAGACTCAGCAGTTGCTAGATTTTCACGATGGGATCGGTGGGTGGAAATTAGCCAAGACTCACGATGAGATCCATCATACAGGAAAGCAGTTGTATGAACAGAAGAAGTGTGAATATGTTGATATCCCGATTGTCAAAAGTAAGAGAGTTAACATCATTAATGAGTATGATGAAAATGAATTGGTTGAACTTGTTGAGAAATATAGGTGCTTGATGATTAAGGCTAAATTCGCAGGAGCGGGGAAGTCCACCATCTGCAAGAACATGGAGAGACTCAAGGGTTATAAAGTGTTGTTCGTGGTTCCTACCAATAATCTGGGTTTGGAGTGCGAAGTGGAAAGCGTCACTGTAAATAAATTCTTCGGTATAGCAGTCAATGACGAGAAGCTAGATAAATACGATCATTCGATGTTTGATGTCATTGTGTTTGATGAGATTTGTTTTAATAATACCTTTGTATTGGCAAAAATTAAGGGCTTTGTAGAGCAACATAGGGCTAATAAAATCATATTAGCTACTGGTGACGCCAAGCAATTGAGCCCCATAAAAGCACTGACTAACACTAAGAAACACGAGATTTATATGAATGAATGTATTGATAGCATTTTTCCCCATCATTTGTTTTTGGAAGAGTGCAAGCGATTGAAGACTCAGGAGGACAAGGATAAACTTAAAAGTATTTATGCTGACATCTTTGAGCATGAGTTGTCTCTACATGATGTCATCAATAAGTATTTTAAATATACTGATGACATCACAGGAACAGAAAGCAATGTCGCATATTTAAATAACACTTGTAGAGAGGTTTCAAGGCAGATCAGGAAACGACAGGGCAAACAAAATGAGTTTGAAGTCGGCGAGATCATGATATGCAGAGAGTATAGGAAGACAAAAACCTATAAGTTAAATGTGAATTTTAGGTATGAGATAATTAATATTTCCGATCCTTGGATTACCATTGCTAATATCAAAACACGAGAAGAGATTACATTACATATTGGTATCTTGAGAAGTCATTTTATCTTTGCCTTCTGTTATACTTGTCATTCTGTTCAGGGGTGTTCCATTGATGACGATGTCACCATTTTTGATTGGAACCATCATCTGATAACTCGCGAGTGGCTTTGGACGGGGATCACTCGGGCAAGGGATTTAAACAGAGTAAAATTTTACAAATACAGTAGTGATTTAAATGAAGAGTTTAACGCAAAATGCATTATGAATTATTTTGATAGAAAGGTGTTAGCATACAAGGAACAGGATCGTAAAAATGGCTTTGACATTCCAAAAGAAAATTATGTAGATGCCGAATGGTTGAAGGACAACGTCAACGGAAAGTGTGCAAATTGTGGCTGTGGTTTCGTGTTGTCAATGGATTCTGGCAATATAAATTCTAATCTGACTTGTCAAAGGTTGTGTAATGATCTACCCCATACAAAAGATAATCTGATGGCTTTTTGTGCTTCTTGTAATCGGTGCTTCAGTAACAAAATAACATATTGATAAATATGTTGTTTATAAAGATTTAAAGCATGATTATTTTAGGTATATAGAGGTATGAACCGGTATGAAAAAGGGAAAATTTACAAAATAGTAAGTCCTGATTTTGAAAAGTGCTACATTGGGTCTACGACCGAGCCATTAAGCAAAAGAATGGAAAGGCACAGGAAACTCTACAAGACATATTTGGAAACTGGCAATGTTGATACAAGAGTGCGATTAATATTTGATGAATACGGAATCGAAAATTGTAAAATACTTCTTATTCAGAATTACCCCTGTGAAAGTAAGGAAGAACTTTTAAGGAAAGAAGGAGAATACATACAAGCAATGCAATGCGTCAATAAATGTGTTGCAGGACGGACGCCTGCTGAGTATAAAGAACTATACAAAGATTATTTCAAGCAGAAACGACAAGAATACTATGAGAAGAACAAAGAATACATCCTGAACAGAAATTCTGAATACAAACAACAGCGCAAGGAACAAATTGACCAGAGAAGACATGAATACTATGAACAAAACAAACAACAAATTAATGAAAAGAACAAACAATACTACAACAACAACTTTGACAAAATCAAACAACAAAAAGCTAAATATGCCGACAATAACAAGGAATATTTGGCTGAAAAAAGAAAAGAATGGTGCAACGCAAATAGGGGGTATGTCAAACAAAGAAGTGATAAATATTATCAAGAGAAGCAAGATAGTATATGCGCCAAGAAAAAAGAAAAGGTTGAATGCGAATGCGGCGCCATGGTTAGAATTCACGAAATCAAAAGGCACCAACGAACAAACAAACACCAATATTTTTTGCAACAAAAACAATAATATCCTGTTTATATATATATATGTCTAAACAAGATATTATTAGCGAAGTTTATTATGATCGTGCTGGTTTTGGCTCTTTAAAAACAACTCTTGCAGACGCCAAAAAGAAAGATGCATCCATAACAATGCAAGATGTCAAGGAGTGGTTTCAAGAGAACGTGGAACGGAAAAAACAACTGTCTGGATACAATTCGTTTATTGCCCCTGATATCAACTATGAATATCAATTGGATCTGTTTTTTATATCAAAAAATGATTTAGATAATCAAAAATATAGGATAGGCTTATTGCTTATTGATGTATTTTCCCGCAAAGCCGTGGTGGTGCCTATTGCATCCAAGCAACCTGCCGACATCACGGCTGGGATCATGGAGGCATTAAACAAAATGGGAGGGAAACCCAAATTAATTTATTCGGATGACGAGGGAAGCCTGAACACCCAAGATCTTGTTGATTTTTTCAAGGACGAAGGGATCCAAAACTATAAAACACGAGGGCACCCCCATTTCGCCGAGCGTTTCATTCGCACGTTCAAGGACATGCTTTTCAAGAGAGTTGATGCAGACGAGAAAAAGGGAAAGATTAATATACAATGGGTTGATTATATCCCCGAGATCATGCTGACATACAACAGTAAAATGGTTCATTCTGCCCACGATATGACTCCAAGCGATGCCCACAAAAAGGGAAACCATCTTGAGGTCAAGATGAAGCTTGAGATGAACAGAATCAAAACCCGTAAATATCCCCCTGTTAGGGTTGGCGATGAGGTCAAAATATACCGCAAAAAAGGGATTTCCGAGAAAGAAAGAACGAGTTCATGGTCAGCAAACAAGTTCACAATTGAAAGGATTGAGCGAAAACTTGGACAAGACTATTATTATGTCCAAGGTGTGACTCGTGCTTATTTGAGATCGGAAATTCTGAAGGTTTGAAGGTGACGTTTTCGCAATGTGTTTTCCTCAATGTGATTTTCACAATGTGGTTTTCGCATAGGGGTATGTGGTTTCCACAATGTGGTTTTCGCATAGGGGTATGTGGTTTCCACAATGTGGTTTTCACATAGGGGTATGTGGTTTTCACATAGGGTGATGTGGTTTTCACATAGGGGTATGTGGTTTTCACATAGGGGTATGTGGTTTTCACATAGGGTGATGTGGTTTTCACATAGGGCTGGGAGGAATGCGATTTCCACAATGTGTTTTCCACACTTGGTGATACTATATTTACAACATGTAAGATCTTATATGTTGTAATTTTAGTGTATTTTTCCCGTATAAGCCGTGGTGGTGCTTTCCTACATAGGCCTTTCCCATCCGCATATTGCCATCCAATGTCACACATATTATTTTCAAGATTTGGGTTAACGGTTTTAATTCTCCCTTTTCCATTGGTTAACCATTTTTTGGGGCGAACATAGGGTTGTTTTGGCGGCTGAACCTTGGACATTCCTACTTAAAGAAAAGACTACTTATTAAAACATGGAGAAGAAGATGTGTACGAGATGCAGGAATGAAAAGGGAATGGAAGAATTTGTGTATGGATTGAAGTCATGCGACGCTTGTGTTGATCAAAAACGTGACTACCGCAAACGAACAGTTGAGAAGAACAAGGAGTATAACAAGAGTTACAGGGAAGCCAACAGAGAAAAAGTGCAATGTCCACTATGTGGAGTTGAGATTACCAAATACAAGATGAAGCAACATGAGGCGACGCAAGGTCACAAGGAAAAGCTACTGGAAAATAACTAGACTAGGTTGACGATTAGAATATTCCATTTTTCTAATGGTTAACCAACTCGAGGGCGTGAATTGATTGAAAAATGCTATTGTTTATTAGACAGTTTGAATTTATTCGTTTGGTTAAGGGTTGCAGTTTGGATCATGAAGTGGAAAAATGAAATTTTGATGGTTGGAAGTTGCGGGTGAACATTTGTTGGTATGTGGATTGATTTTTTTGAGTGACATTTTTGAGGAGGTGTGAATTAGTATGTAGTTAGGATTGTTGTTTTGAATGAGTGTAAGGGTTGGGTTAAAGGTTGGACAAACTAGCCTAAAAATGAAGTTGATGATGAGAATACTGATTTTTCTCATGATTAACTTAGTAGGTGTTTCAATTTGGAGGTTGAAAATGGGGTGATTTGGTATGTGTGTTTAAAAAGTGCTCAAAAGTGTAGGGGGGGGTATAGGGCCAGGATGCCCCCATCTGGGCGGGAGAGGCTTGGTCTAACTCCTACACCCCCCCCCCCCCCGCAAGAAGTTCTTGCGCCAAAGGCGCGGGCCACTCCTGGACCTCCACCCGCGCCAGGCCCTGCCGCAGCAGCGGGTCGTTTGCGGCGAAGCGGTCCGCCGAGTCCTCTGAGGAGAAGATCAGCAGCGCAGAGTCCCCCTCCTCGCGACTTGCGCGGGTGACGTCTCCGAGGACGTCTCACTGGGAGTCTGCTGAAGAAAAGGGAGGTCTACCTGGACCATGACCCTTAAAAAATGGTGATGACCCAAAATCAAGGGGTCATTACCCCATGTTTTAAGGGTCATGGAGACAGGTACCCACAACTGGGTTGTTCTCGTGTTCTGCTGCCCCTGCTAAGGTGAATGACCTTTATTGGGCTGGCTGGAAACCCAACCACTGAACCAACTAAAAGCCCCAAAATTCAAGGGGACGGCTGGGAACCGCCAAGAAAAGGGGTGACCCCTATTTGTGAATTGGAGGGTGGCGAACCCCAGGTTCCCTTTACAAGAATGGGATTCAAAACCCCGAATAATAAAATCCCATACCCCCAGCGAACATCCCAACCCCCACTAAAATTGACTAAACTGGGTGGTGCACCTACCCCAAAATGGTACCATTGGCTTTGACCCACAGCAAAATAACTAAAAAAGAATCCGCATGTCAGCAACCGGAAGAACCCACTTTTCGCAACCGCTTGAATTCCGGGGGCGACCAGTCAACTCGCGTATCGAACCCGGAGCGGCGTCCCATGCCACGGAGCCCAGAATCAGCTCGCCCTCAGGGAAGGGCTGCTTTAGACGCGGGATGTTTGTAGATCAACGGGCCTTTGCATCTCTTTTCAACATTTGATTGTGGCTCAAAATTTAAGAGCTAGGGTTACGCAGGTGTTGGTCTTTGTTTCCATTTACCTTTACTTACCTAGGGGCCATTTTGGGTACATGTTTTTGAGCCACAGCCATTTGAGGAATACCACTTCTGCAAGGGGATCAACAACTGTAGCTAGTTCACCTGCTGTACGTGGGAACTGGTGTAGAGTGACATCCGGGAACCATTGGAACCAACTAAAACGCGTGGCTTCTACAGCCACTGTCGTTGAACTAATTCGATCCCAACCCTGCCTTTGCGGCGGCTTTTTGTGCATGGTCGACATGCGCTTCGTGCACGTGCGCGCTGACGGCTTTGGTCAAGGTATAGGACAACACGCCCAGCGGCTTTTCCGGGGCGCCGGGCGGCCGTGGCATCTTGGTCCCGATGCACACGCTCCGAACGGCATGGCGCCACATCGCACGAAAGCTGATGCGGCTGGCGCAGGATCACCATCTTAGCCAAAAGGGCACAGGGCAAGCAGTCTGTGGCGGCAACCCCGTTACAATCGCACACACTCTGTGATCAAACCCAGTGGTCGTGTGGGCGTTGCTTGTGCACTACTTGAAGCATGAACTCTTCTCTAGCAGACTCTAGCACGTATAAGGCTGCTCGAAGCGTAAATTTTCTACCAGGGATTGCACCCTAAACAAACACCGCAAGCCCCCAACGTCTCCCAACAACGTACCAGCTGATGCAGGCGGTGTTGCCCATACGGACTCCTTCAGGAAATTAGCCCAAAGCCCATGTTAGATGGAAAGCGAGGGCATTCCTTCATCTCATTCCCATACATTCCAATGGCAAAGGGATACGAGCATTTGATTCAAGTACCGCAACGGACCAACACAAAAAGGGCCCATGTAAACGTGCTTTAAACTAAATATAATTAGTCATGACCACACCAAAGAATAATGTGTATAATTATTTTGGCTCTTGTATTTGTGCCAGACTTGGACCGCCAGCAAAAAGCTATGCTAGCTGTTTGCTGGATGAAAGGGGAAAAAGGAACCCAAAAAGCCAAAGGTGAAAAAGGCAAGCTGAGTCTGGCAAATTTAAGGGTCAATCCTTATACTTTCTGACCAGTCTATTATTTGGGGGTGTCCTTTTTGGACAAATAGATGCCCTGGTAAATGCAACAAAACCCCTCTAAACCATTGCCATCTATTTTCAACCGAACTAAGAAAAGGAGACCTATGGCTCTTCCAACACCCTTTTGTCAGCTTCCATTGGGGGTAGCTCAAGGCCAGCCTTCGCGCCGCCAAGGGGGCGCCGATGGTCGACAGCCCTGGCGCTTCTAAAAACCAGTTGGTCAGAACCCTCGGTTTACCCAAAACAAATCCCAAAGAAAGAGGCTGCGGCTTTCGGCTTGCTTGAACATGTCAAGTGCATGGCAGTGTCCTCTTTCAGGGCACCTGGTTTTCCTTTTGTCTTTCTTAATGCAAAAAAAGAAAAAAACGCGGAGTACTCCAAAAATACACAAACCCATGTCATATGTGCTCCCTCGCGGGTTCAGGCTGGAGTCCAAGGCGAGACCTGAACATGGTCCAGCACCCAACTAGCCTCCCGGTCCGCTTTTTGGACGCTTGGGATATGGCCGCGGCTCAAAAAAGTGGTACCAACAATGGCACCTTGCTAAATGGAAACTAACACTAAAACCTGCGTAACCCTCGGTCTTTAATTTTGAGCCACGCCCGATGGAAGGGGTCCTGGGCTTCGAAGTCCGGGCCCTGCTCTGATCGGGATGGAACACAAGTGATGTGTAGAGGCCAGAGGCGGGACGAGAGCGAGGAAAGGAACCAGTAAGACACTGTCAACCAGCAAAGAAACCACTACCACAATGTATTGTTGGCATGCAGTCCCAAACGTTGACTGGGTGGGAACTACCATTCAAAGCGCTGTAGCGTTGCATCATCAGCCCTGGCGCTGGATTCATTTTGGTCAATGCTACTGGTTACTTGCGGCTCATAAGAACTTGTTCCTTCTGCTGTCCCCCACCCCAAAACAACAAGGTACCACGCCCATGCAAACCCGCCACGTTTGGGCAGAGGTAAGGGGCCTGTTCAGCTTCTCCGGAGAAAACACAAATTCCCAAGACTAGATCTGAACAACGTCGGGTTCTCTGACTACTTTGAAGTTGATCTCCCTCTGCCCTCCATCCATCAGCGCTAGCCACCTCGATCCAAGCCGTCTGGCCGGCCACCGGAGCGAGCCATGGCTCGCGGCACTGGGCCATCGCGCCTTCCTTCGACACGACCATGGCGCCGCGCCAATCTCCTTTGTCAAACTCAGTTCAGTGACCCTGGGGAAAAAAAGGGAACCCTGTTTGACGCTTGGACCATTTTTAGTGGGGCAGCCACCAAAAAAATGGAAAAAATGGTGCCACTGAACAACTGAGCAAATGACTTGAGTGCGAAATCGTGCGGATGCTGTTCTGACATGGAAGGAGACTCCCCTGAGCTGCCGATGCGCCACTAGCAAGACTGATCCTATTGCGGATGGGCGTGGCAAGTAGGGACCCTGCTGATTGTCCAAGTCATTGTCGCAAGGTTGCACCATGGTGAAACGACTCGTGTAGAGAATTGTCAGTGTCTCCTTAACCGGAATCACTTTAACATTGGTCGATCCAAATGACGACGCATCAAGAGCTCTGAGTCGCCAGGTGTTGCTTGGATGGCAGCAGCATAGTTAATCTTTGACAGGGCCGCTACAGAAACTTTAGCCTCAGATCTGTCGAGGCGATGGCTTGCAGCTGGATGATGCAACATATCCTTGGTCAATACCTCAACTTCCCCGCTCACACTCGTATCTGACAAGTTATTGAATGGCACGACTTTTTGCGTTGGCCAGCGTGGAAACAAAAGCAATGCCCCAAACACCCTGCCTGCTCAATCCAGAAGGGGCCATCCTATGCTCACAGGCCCCGTTTGGTCAAAGACAAGGTGGCTTGCGCCACGTCAAAGGCAAGATCTGTTTGATCACTTGCTCGGTCTAAAGTACGACAATGCGATGAAGAAAGAAGCAAGTGGTTTAAAGCAATAAAACTAGTCTACAACAATGCAAGTGGTCTAAAGCAGTGGAAGGTAACACAATGCAAGCGTTGAGTGGCGATCGTCAAGGCCGCGATGCTACTTTGAAGGTCCTTTAGCGGGGGTTGCCACAAACGGGGCCAGCTTCTGCCCTAACATGTCAGCCGAACACGCTCAAAAGCGCTTGTGGATCCATGCTTCTAATTTATGGCGCGGAATACTGACACATCTTATCAAAACTTTAAGCTGGCTTATAGCCTCGTAACTTCCGAGTGGCGCCATTTTCCGGCCGGATTCAGCACGGAGCGGTGAAACATGTAATGCCGCCTTGGCATCTGCGCGTGTTTCGCGCAACGGGGCTGAAGCAGCTAGGTCATCAAGCACTTGATGATACTTGATCTGTATATCTGCGATTATGCAAAAGCTGTAAGCCGTGTGAACTGCTGACGCTCGTGGCTATATCTAAATATATCATCAGCTCAAGGAGTCACAAGGAACAAGCATGGCACAGCCAACTCTTTCATCATTGCCCAGCGACCCTGGCAAAAACAAAAAGACACATCTTTTTGGCATGAACACCGAGAGCCTGTGTTTGGTGTTGAGCCTATCACATATGAAGGAGAAAAGTGTGCCACCCCATAAGCTAACCCGTTTCCAGCCGCGAAATGCTCAGCTTGGCATAGGCAGCGGCGGATGGGGGTTCAGAATGGGGCACCTCGGCTTCGCAAAAAGATACACGGAAGGATTTTTGTGTATTGCAGGATTCCCCAAAGCTAAGTCTTACGAGTGCGCTATGATTCGTGCAATGGAAAAACGGACAGGGCTTTGTGCCCGCCAGCCCTTTTTTGGGGATTTTTAAATTGTATGACCGTAGCCATGACCCGTTGGTCTTGCCAGGTTGCGGTGAGTTAAACAGGTCCTGTCCTCTGGCAATCTGAGCATGTGTGCAGGATTTGGGCAAGGGATGATTGAGGCTCTATGTAAATAAGGAAACAAGTCTTTCACAAGCCAACACCGCACTTAGATTTCTTAGACACAAAGCTAACAAAGCAGCCATGGTTTATGTTCCAACTGTTGAACAGGCAAATATGCGTGCAAGTATGCCTCCTGGCAGTATCTACAAGAGTGGGTGTGTTCTTCTCAGGGTTTGGTAGCCTTTCTAGGATTGGTCTATATAAATGATAAGCCAAAGGAGCTGCCACGTCCAAACCCCTCTTGTAATTTTAGGTTGGTGAAAAGGAACATCAACAGGGCAGCACCATTGTGATGCCTCGTCCCCTGTTTTGACACGTCAATACGCGCAGCTCCCCCTCCAACGTGGGCCCCTCGCTGGAGATTGGCGCGGTAGCTGCCAACCTCCGGAGTGATGAAGAGCGCCTGCGAAAGACATGCGTGTACACTCGTTTTGGTGGCGTAGGGCAACCAGAAGGAAGGAAACTCAGCAACCTATGGGGTGCCAATTCCCATTTGGGCCCTTTTTGTTGACTCTTAAGGAGGGGTTTCAAAGGGAGACGAGAGCGAAACCACTGATTCTACTCATGTTGGGGGTTGCCTTAATCAAGCCTTGGTGGCTTTTCGAGGTCGGGGCCTTGTGATTCAACTCATCCCCTTCTGCCTTCGTGTTTGGGCGACGAGTTGAATGGGTACAGATGGTGTCCTTTCGGACGCTATACACATGATTGTCCATTGCAAAGCCAGAACCCGTTCCACTTTATGGAACCTTCACCCTGCAGCCAAGTTTATTTGTGGGCGAGCTCGTCAGAATCCGCCCAGACTTCAATAGAGGCAGTCGATGAAGATTATTCTGTTTCTGGGCCGAAAGGTCAAGCTACATTCGCCAAGGGCCGTGCGGCCGATATACACAGCTCCCATCAGTCCGTACATCGCTCCGGATCGCGTCGGCCGACCTTTTTTGCACTCATGGTGGTGTGACCTAATGCGATTGCAATGCGCTCCGCCTCTGGATGCCGATGGGGATGGCAGTCCCGGGAAAGAAGCGCAGCTCGTATGGTGTGCCTATGACACCACATCGCCAAAATCTGCACGGCCAAGCTACATCATGAATTCGGGCAGTGCCGGGGCCTTGCCTGGATTGGTTCCCACTCACGCCAAACAGAGCCCATCCAACAAGTACCCCAAGAGAAAACAAAAACCGTCATTTTGCTTTGTTGCCTCCCAACATAAATCTTTTGACAACTTCAGATCCAGGCGCCTCAGGGAACGGTATCGCCTGCTCGGTTTTTGCCACCCGGCCGAAAGTATTTGAGCTTCCCTTCGCCCACTCAGGACCCGCCGAACTTGGCGCTGGCCTTGGCCTCTGTCTCCTTCACCTCAGATCTCGCTGCACCCGTTGGTGACAAAAAGTCTGATCCCCCTTTGGGTTTTCGGGTTGCAAGTGAAATTTGAAGATGTTGCAGTTGGTGATTTGTTATCCAAAGTTTGCAAGACTGACAGTCAGCAATTCTGACTTGCAACTTGGGGGAATTTGAAGATGCAGCCAGAGGTTGGCTAGGTGGTACCGCAAAAAAAGATAGCGAGCAGATTCGTTTTTTGGCATGAACTCATCCCAGCCCAACTTTCACCTGGCCAAGTCCACCCTAAGCCACCAGCACCTATCCTCCAACTCACATGGAAGCCCACTGGAGCCTTTTGACCGGCTTTCCCGTTTTGGTTGCCGGAGCACAGGAAAATCCCGAGTCACAAGGCAAAACCTGCAGCCAAACTATGTCGACATATACACAATTACTTGCTGGTGCTCAGTGGGGAATGTGGGAATCAACCTAGGGATTCCCTTAAAGGAAGCCACAAGTGATATAAGGGTCATTCCCTCCTTCCCTGCTGAGCACCAGCAAGATTATCGTGTCCACTGTGAGGCGATTGAACTTTCAGGAACCCCAGGCTTGCTGTAGACACTTGACAAATGAGTGCCCCTAAGGCATGCATGTGCAGTGGCTGCGTCGGGCCGTGCGTGGCTACCAAGTGGTCTTCAAAAAGTGCTATAGGGGGGGGCTCTTCTTTATGAATATGTCCCATTGCTGTTCCGCTTCAGCGACCGGCCACAAATGCAAGTGGTCCATGATGAAACATTGAATCTGAGTCGTGCACAAAAGCTAAACCTTGAACTTGCTTCTTGCTGGAATGCCCACTCAGATGTTCAATCTAACCAAACGTTACGGATCAAAGGTCCAGCCAAATTGCAGACACATAAACACGGATTTGGCAAGTTTGAAGCTCAAGGGTCCAAATAAGTGCACATGGGTGCGTCTTTTTGTAGGGGACCTACAACATGATCGTGCTCCTGTTAGTTTCCCTTTACAACCAAAAAAACTCAAAAAAAACTTCCCCACATGTCAGGCTTAGATTCTAGTCGCTATGAAAATATTGACCTCGAAATGGCGCCTTTGGTCAAGAGAGCCCAAAACAGGGTACTTTCCAAGGACACAGATGCATGTTTCACCCGCACACATCCCAAAGCCCCAAAGCCCCAAAGTGGAAGGAAGCTCCCTTGGCATGAGCCAAAGACACAGACATGGCCATAAAATGACCCGCCATCAGCCAAAATCACCCAAGATGGGTGGTTTCCTCTTGGTCTCCCTTTCACATCACCCAAAGCAAGGGTACCTTTGAACGCAAAGGACTCCACCAGCCAAAGAAACCTGAAAATAAGCCCAAATAGGGACCCCCCTGCGAAGAAAACAGCAAAAAAAAAACGTTCAGAAAAAGAACGCACACAAACACCCGCCTTCGCGCCCCCCCACAGATAGAAAAAGAGACTTAATCAAACCTGATAAGTTAAGTACCCTCCCGTACAACAAAACAACTAAAAACATGGACTCCACCAAAGACCAAACTCCTACGCCAAAGGGCCAGTGCCTTGGTGGCATCAACTCCCTCCTCCGCCTTGGCCTTCACGGCGTCCATGGCCGCCCGCGTTGAGTCCGTCGGCTTCTCCTGGCCCTTGCCTTGGCTCCGGAGGTGCACCGGGCTTGGCGCCAGCGAGATGCACATAGAGATCCAACATATGAACGTTTAGCCCGTGTAAGGAGTAATTACCTATTTGCAGAGCATTGGCTATCAAAGTATACAATGTATAATGTGTATATATTAGTACATATAGATGGGTGTGGCTCAAAATTCAAGAGCTAGGGTTAATTACGCAGGGATTAGTCTGTGGTTCCACTTGACAAGGTGCCGTGTTGGTACATGTTTTTGAGCCACAGCCATATATGCATATAATATGTATTCGTATCAGGGGCAACTGCCTAAGGGGCGACGTGGTTAAGCCATTCCACCTTACACAGGCCCTCACTCCCGGTCACCCATTGCAGGCATGCGCAACGAGGTAGAACCTCTGCTCTCAGCTCCAGAGTGTGCAGCTCAGACCCCAAGATCTATGGCGCTAAAACGATTGAAATTCTGCGAGTGTCAGAAAATGACCTTTCGCCACGGAATCCAATCCAGGCTTCCATGCTGGATTGCATGGAGCACAAAGAGCGCAGCATCGTATAAAACATATTTCTGCAGACCAAGGGTTCAAACTATCCACCAGTGATGTTTCAAACTTTGAGATGAACATGCGCGGCCGTGCTCCAGCCGCACGGATATCCACAGGCCAATCTCCAGAAGCAACGCCTGCTTATCCAGAAACCCAAAGAGGGTCGAGGTGGCCAGGTACCAGATCACCAAGGTGCAGTTGCCAACCACGAACTCCGTAGTGGCCTGGCGCAGAAGCGAATGCCAGGCAGATCAATCTTAAGGAACCTCAAACCAGGTGGAGCCGGGTGGAGACTTCAGGCCGCTGCAGACCATGTTGCCGTGTCACTGTGTGAAAACCAACAATCCTCAGGAAAGCTTGTTTCATGAGCTAGTCCGCCATGATTCGAGGGATTCTGTGAGCTGGGTTGGCGGATCGCACGGCTCACTGGATGTAGACCCCCCCCACAAACAAATTGCCCATGTTTGGGAGGGTTCAATGGAAAATCCGAAAGTTTCCGCAATTGATGTGGGTCGCCCCCGGCAGATGGCGATGTGCAAACTCTGGTTGCCCTCCGCGGGAGATCCTCCAAAACACCGGTTGCTTTTTGAGGCTACCCTGTCAGGTTGACTTAACAGGGAAACGAAAGGAGAAACGTCAAAGCAAGGCAGTTATGGAAGCCCTACTGTGGATGGACGAAATCCTGCACGCACCACCAAACAAAGCCTGGAATGATGATTTTCCTGTAAATACCAACACACGTTATGGTTTCAACCCTGGCTTCAATGTGGTGGAGGATTTCGTCCATCCACAGTATGTTCATGTGTTGGCACATACCCACCTTGGGTTTCTCCCACTCGAGAATCGACAAACCGGAGAGAGCCTCATAGCCCTGCACCGTCTTCTGCTGCACGGTGGCGCAGCCCTGCTTCAGCCTTATTAAGAGATCAAGCTTTTTCACCAACCACCCCAAATTCCCCCTATAACGCTCCTTTTTTGCCGGGCAACCAGCACCACCTCAGAAGCTCCCCACATGTCGACTCCAAAACTAGGCTGCCCTCAGATCCCCCGCTAAAAGTGACTCACTTTTAGTGGGCTAAATTCGGAAACTACCACTCAACAACAGGATGTAAAAAGCTAAGGAACCGGATAGCCGTTAAAAATGGGTCCACCCCAATATTCTGGGCAATGACCCCATTTATACAGGGTCCTGGAGACTCCAGGTCCATTTGGGAGCCACCGAGAAAAAACAAAATCGCCAACCGAGCCGAGCCGAGCCGCTGATCCCAAAGGCTGGGACTGGGATTCACCGCCTCCTGCGCCGCCGCCGAAGTCTCGGAGACCTTCGCTTCAGCCGAGGCCAGTCCTGGGCCAAAGGGATGGTACTGGACAATGGCCTGCTACACGTGTTGATTCCGAATATGTTCTTGTTCTTTTTAAAGGTGTATATATATGTATATCTACATTTATAGAGCAAAATTATCTAACTATCTATGTTGCCTAGGTACTTCTCTATTTTACCTGTCTGTCTCTGTCTCTGTCTGTCTGTGCGGTCTGGTCTGGTCTGGTCTGTCTGTTTATCTGGTCGATCTATGCCGAACACCAAAAGCACTGTTCCAACTACCAGAGTCGAGTAGTGGACGTCAATGCACCACATTAGTTGACTTCTTATTCTACCGAAAAGTAAGGCTCAAGCATTACCCTCGCTGAAATGCCCACTGAGCAAAAGAGCAGCACCCCTGATCCAACTTGTTGGCCAGGCTTGGGATGCCACTCAAACGGCTGCAATCATCTCAGTTTGGTGGCTACTACTTACTAATAGCCTCTGAAAAAGCAAGCCCATTGAATTTCCCTGATGGCTGTGGGTCAAAAATAGGTACCCGTTTTGGGAACCCTGGTAAATGGAGCCAAAGACTAAAGCCTGCAGTTTGGTTTAATTTTGACCCATACCCTGATGTGATCAGGGCCACCCACAAGTGAAGCCCTCGATGCGCTTCACCTCTACGACCCCAACTCCCACCTCGCCAAGGCTCCCTGCTGCGTGGCGTCTGAGGCATCCGACACGCCCTGCCGAGGGCATGTCCATTAACAAACAACTTCTCACTCGCAACACTTTGCGCAAGCAAGCAAGCAAGCAAGCCAGCAAGTCAGCAAGCCTGCAAGCCAGCCGGCTAGCCATCGAGCAAGCCAAGCAAGCAAGCCAGCAAGCCAGCAAGCCAGCAAGCCAGCAAGCCAGCAAGCCAGCAAACCAGACAGCCAGCCAAGGAGAAGCAAGCAAGCCAGCCAGCGAGCAGGCAAGCGCGCATGCAAGCAAGCAAGACAGCAAGCCAGCAAGCGAGCGAGCAGGCAAACAAGTGCACGTGCTACAACAAAGACCGGACCTTTGAGTGCTTTACTCGGACCAAGGGATGCCACAGGTGCACCTTTCCGATTTCATGTCGACCCTCAATAAGTTTCAATGGACCATGGCGCGGCCCGCTGTCCCTCCAAACTGACGGCCCAAGAACTTCATGTCCGCAACATATGAAAACCTTCACGTCTGTGCACTCGGATGCTCAACCAACTTAGTAAGGTGGTCATAACCGCGGCTACAACTGGGGCAACTGTTTCTTTTGTTTGCCTTATATAACCATGGTATTGACCTTCTGGCGCTTGAGCATCCAAGCAATGTCCGCCCGACGGCTCTTCGCACAGCACTTCGGGCTCTGAACACCCTGCCTGGGCAAGGCCCGCCTGCATCTTTGCCAGTGTCTCGTTGGCGCTCGACATGGCGGGAGAATGCGCAAGGAATGCCAGGTGCAGAGCAACTTGGGCCTCGACTTGGCAACGGATGGCAGGAAAGAAACACCTGCGCATGCCAAAGATACACTAGTTGGGTACGTGTGTGTTGAGGGATGTTGTGCGTAGACTAAGTATTGTCGCAAAACATCTAAAACCCTGTACTGCCTTTACTGCATACATGACACAATTGTGCTCGGCATCTCCGGCAAAACAAGGCTTCCGCCATCAGCAGTCTGGTGTGCTGGCAGGGTACTCAGAAACTCGAAGCTTGCATATAACCACTTGAAACAGCTTGGGTTCATGATGCAGGCCAATCCGGTTGATTAAAGGGTCATTAAAAGTGTTTCAGAACATGACATCGACCAAGATGCCGATTGTTTCCTGGAAAATTGGTCACATGGTTGTGGCACGGTTTGGATCGACCCTAGCTATGTTAGTAGGCAGCGAGAATGGCGTCAAGTTCGCCACAGCGAGATCAAAGCCGCGAGTTCCATGGTTTAGCATAACCCGTGCCTTAGCTCCCAGCGGTGATGCCCTTGCATGTTGGAAGTTCCAAACAAGGCTCCTCCGCCCGGTAATACAAAAGTTTGGCAGAAATGAGCCGTGAATGCCGGTGTGTTTGTGGTTTGTTGTGTTCCGAGGAGCTCATTCGTGTGACTGGCCTTCGCACTGACATTCATAACCCCGAAGAAAAAAGAAAGCAAACAAACGAAACAAACTAGTTCCTGACTTCAAAAAGCCGGAAACAGAACATCAGAGTATGGTTGCTGCAAGGCCTAGGATGCCCTCGACCCTTCAATGTTTGAGGCCTACCCCAAAGGACTTGGGACCGTGGGGAGAGGACTCAAACCAAAACCCACGACCTCGAAACCACCACGAGCTGACGTCGGCCTCTCGTGGCTGCCGCGCCGCCGAGGGCGTCCACGCCCTCCGAAACGTCCGGCCCAGCGGCAGGGGCTTGCTCTGACCGCGGAACCCAAAAGTCGAAGGGAAAAAACTCACGGCCCCAGGCCGGGAGGCTACACGGCGCGGTGGGCATAAGTCCCTGTGCAAATGATTCGGGTTGAGTCCGATTCCATTCTTTCCGAGCATCCTCCTTTTGGAAAACCGGCCGTGGTTTTCTAGAAAGATCCGGATCCCTGGAAAGACTGGGGAAGGTAGCACTAGAGAAAGGCTCCTTCATTGGGTTTTGAAAAACGCCTCTAATGGTGGTGTTCCGGGTATACAGGCCTGGAGGAATGTAAAAGATGGGTGGCTTGAACAGACATGTCCAAAGGGGGAGCCCCGGCTAGAACCCTACTCTGCCCCCACGTCTAATGCGAAAACCAAACGGAGGAAAGTGCACCTTAGTTTAAGCGACACAGACTCCATTGCCTAATGAAATTACAACAGCTCAAATGGAATTAAAGAGGCCTCAAGGACAGACCCTTCGTCATGGGTGAGCTTGGTGTACCAGCAGGCGAGCCCGCTGAAAACTGGCGCAGACTTGGTGGCACGGGAGAACCAACCTGCATTTGTATGAGAAAGGCATCCGTCAAAAGTGGAATCTGGCCCAGCTATTGTCAGAGTGCTTGCTTCATTCTAGGAGGGTGCTTGGCCTTTTGGTTAATCTATGTTGCTAGGGGACCAACTGGGAGCTGTTGTCGCAGTGCCCTGTGCTTTTTGTTCATGTTTAGGGGACCGACTAGAACTCAACCGATGACTTGGGCTGCACTCAGCAAGTCGAGTCAAGAGGAGCCCCGGACGTCTTGCCCGACAAGCTCTCTGCATGTGATCACTGCTCGTGCAGGTCCGGGCAAGCTGAACCATAATCAAAACCCGAAACAAAAATGGTCGAGCCAGAACCATGTAAAGAACTAAGAAGGTGGCCACAGCTATTTGTGGTTGGGATCGTCCCTCACTAACCTTTCACTCTCCCGGGTTTTGATTGTGACACAGCTGAGTTGCAAACGAATCTGGTCACTGTGGCAAAAATGGATGTATTGCATCTCACACATGCATGGAGGTCTCCGTTGTTCCTTGTTCAACAATACAAGAGGAGCGAAACAGCCAAGCACTCCTGCAATCTGGGCTTCATACTCTCAGCTTCCATTACACGCATACCAAGTGTCTCCAACACTATGCTTCACAATGTGGTTGCATCTGGCTGGTATGGTGTCAAACAAAAAGTGACGCGTGGCCAGTCCCAGGAAACCACCAGGATTGCAGGGGTGGGCAACCCCCTTGCTTCAACGTGCTTAAACCATCCTGTGAACAACATTCTTTGGGTTTCCCTTTAAGCGAGCCGAAGCCGGTCTACTTCTTCAATCCGACTTTGATCAACCCTGCAGCATTGATACGACCAACTCGTGAGGGGCGATGCACCTGCAGAAATCACAAGTCAACCTATTTAACCCTGCTGGCTTTATGGGTGTGTCTTTTTGTTCGGATTCGGACCCTCCCCCCCCCAAAAAAAAGAAAACATGGTGGACATGGTGGTTTCCTTGCTGGCTTTCCCTTAAGCCAAGAACAAAAAGGTATATCCTCCAAACAAATCCTCACCCAGTTGGCCCCAACATGGCGGAAATGGTGGTTTTCCTTTTGGTTGTCCTTCAAAAAAAAAGGTCCAAACAAAACCACACCCAGTTGGTCCCATGACTGTTGGTTCTCCTTTTAAACCATCCAACAAGTGGTACCAGCACCAGACATGAAGTCCCTTAAAGAGAACCCCAATCTTCCAGCTACCCTCCAACAATACCATATGCGTAAAGAGAATCTACCAACTCCCCCCCCCAAAAAAAAACGGGGCCAGCCGGCCAGCCCAGCCAAGCCCTGGCGACTGCTTCACTCCTTCCCCTCCCTTCGCCAAATCGCCTGGCGGAGGTCATCAGAAGCCCCCGCGGCGCCGCGTTGTGGAGCCCGATGCGGGGCTCCCGCAGGCCCTGCGCGCACGCGGCTCACGCGGCTCACACGCGGCTCACGCGGCTCGGGGGGTCTCACTTTGGAAGGGACGCCTAGGGCCTCCAGTAGAGAGTTAGAAGGGCACCCGGTATTTTGGTCTGTTTACTTTAGGGGAACCCTCCCCCAAAAAAGTCGGTGAAAAGTTGGCACTGGGGGACCTAGAAGCCGTTCTTCTCCGAACCGGCACAAATCTGTCGTTACCAGCGGGTTTTCAACCCTGGTTACTTTTCTCTTTTTGCTTTTTCCCCAACAGCTGAAAGCTTTGGGGTCTCAGCACAGATAGGCGCCGGGGTGGTCCGGGGCGGCCCTGAGGTAACCGGGACGGCCCTGAGGTAAGGTTCCACCAGGGTTCCACCAGGGTTGTGCGAGGGCTGCGGGGTGGTGCGAGAAATAAAAAGAGCACCGCTTGCTGGGGATATCACCTGAGCTTTTTATTGAGGGGGGAACGAATTTCGCAACCATCCCTGATTGCCTCAAGCCTTGGAAGCTCATCAGACACTTGGCTCTTGTGAGGATCCAGGATCCTGTTCGCTCCGCTCCCCTACAGTACAGAGTTATTGCCCCCTATGATGTTTGTTGGCGCGAACCAATCAGAAGTACGGGGGAGATCAATCCACCAACGTTCGGTAGATGCACAAGTTCTTCACCAGTTGTCAGCGGTTGGATACTTACAGAACCTTTGGCGGATTGATCTGCAACCACTTTGAATTGAATGTTCCAAGGCTTGATGCATTCTGGGCTCCCTTGAGACAAACATAGATGCTTGGAGGTGCATTTCATGGGCTGAGTAGGCAGGTGCACTGCAACATTACTGTGGCTGGTTGCGGCATCTGTTCGCACCACGAAATGAAACCAGGACTGAAACAATTATTTGCCGAGGAATTGAATCATTCCTCTTAGGTGGTGCAGGATTGCGTCCATCCACTGTACTGCTGGCGCCTCTTCCGCTGATGAAGATTGTCACAACCAACCCATGTACCAGCGTTCCAAGTATTGCCATCTCAGTCGTGCGCTGAGCCTTACTTTGTTGAGAACTCCATTGCCACAATACGTGTTGCTTGGACTCCGTTCGAAGCGCTTAGGCAATCCACACTGCAACTACCCTTCCTTAGTTGGTAACAGGCAGAAATCTCGAGGCTGGGTCATGTGTACAAAACCGAAACAACTTGTACTGCATGTGTATATATATATATATGTATATGTATTCATATATACATATATATATATGAGTATAGTGCACAAATCGGCTGTGCGGTAAGACACTGACTAAGATCAAATGGGGCTTGAGGGTTGGACTCACTTGTCTCTTTCTGGACGATCTGTCCAAAAGAAGTCCCCGACTATGAGACTATCCCCTGCCCGAGGACTATCCCCCGTGCATGACAACTGCAGTCCCAGCGCAATGGACACATGGCGCTGGAATGATATGGGTGTGTCTCAATGGATAAATTTTATGTCAATGGGTGAGCCTAGGGCATTGATCTGTGACTTCCAGTGGCTGTGCCCCTTGAACATTCTCAGAATTCACGCCGAGCACGGGGCCTGGGGTTCTGGATGTCTCACTCTTGAAAGCACCCTTCCCACTATGCAACATCTTTGGGCGTTGGGGCTAAGTTGAATCCCCTTCCAACAGAGATGGACATGATTCTCTAGAATGCCAAGGACAAGTTATGATCGCTTGACGTCTTCCAACGAAACAAACTCGCTGCCACAACGGTGCGCATACAACACATACGTGAAGAACAATCGCACAAAAAGGCAGGCTCACCTGTCTTTCCTTTCAACATCACACCCCAATCTCAATGTTCAAACTACCCAAAAGGGAACATCCAGCATATTTTGAGTGCCCTTCAATGAAGGGCACTTGACGTGTTTTGGAATCAAGGGCACGACTTAAGGCCGTGTCGGTGCCCTAAGTGACCCTTTGATTCGTTTGCTAAGTGCCCTTTTTGGCTTGATGGGGGTTGGGTTCCTGTTGAAATCGAACAGCTACCCGTGTCGAAATGTGACAACTGCCACATTTGATTGGGGCCGACCTGGAATGGCCCGAACATGGCGTTTTGAGTGTCAAAGCGTGTCAATTGAGTGCCAGTGGGGGTGCGAATCGAGGTCACTTACCCATAAAAGGACACTTACGCTGGTGTCGGTCCTCCCTGCGTGGGTGTCATTCGTGTGTCGCTGCGGCTCGATTTGCCCGGACTGCCCCCTGAGGGCCTAAGTGGCCCATGGCCTAAGTGACCTCGTTGACTTAGGCGAAGTGACCTTATGACTCGTGGGCACTGCGGGCACCACAAAGAAGCTGGGTGCCCACCCCTTCCTACCAGCTCCTACCTCCCCACCCCCCCCCCCAAAATCCCCTCCCCGCCGGCAGGGCCAGAAGCGCCGCCCCGCTGCGGACGGAGCGGCTCCGCAATGACTCGCTGCCCTTCATGGGGATGCCTACGGCTCCGCGATGGGAAGAACGGGTCTGTCTTCTGAAAAGACCCCAGAAACCGGTGGTTTTGGCGGTTTCCCTTCAAACCTTTAGGGTTTTCCAAACTCTTGGTGGTTTCCCTCCTTTTGGTAGTTTTGGTAGTTTTGGCGGTTTCCCTTCAAACCAAGAGGGGCACCCGAAAGAAGGACACACTCATTTGGGCGTTCCTGTTTTGGAGTTGGTACCTGGACCCTCAAAATACCCTTAACGCATGGGTCGTTGCCCCAAATTGTTGGGGTTAAGTCCATCTTTCTTGGCCTGCTTTCTGAGGGATTGAAAGCGAAACCTAAAGGAACACACGGACACACACACACACACACACCTACCCATTTAGGTCCAAGAGGCATCCCTCCAATCTGAGTATCCCTCGACGTGTCCTTGCTTGATAGGTATTGAAAGGACGTGAGTAGATATGGGTCATGGTTCTGAGAATAAAACATGTGGTTTCCCTTGGACACATTGCTACAATTACTAAGTGGGTAGACCAATCTACTAAGTGGGTTGACAAGTGAACACCGAAGCAATGACTTGGCCCTCGGGGAAGAATTCAGACAGAGCTGAGCACCTTGCTGTGGGTTGACAACATGTCAGGATCCACTACCCAGCAACAACCATCAACCATATATTTATACATATGTAACCAGCCAACCCACTAACCAAGCAAACATGCCACCCAGACAACCAATACCAAAAACATTCAGCGCTCCAGGGCTTCGCCAAATTCGCGCCAAATCGAAACCGCTGCCTTTGTACACGATCCGCATCTCCACGTCGTCCCGGGATTTCGGGAGCATGGGATCGTGGTACGGTTCGGCAAACGTCTTGGCTTCCTCGGTCTCGTGCCGAGTCTGCACCGAAAGCCGTGCATGATCGTGCATGTGATCCTCATGAGCTTAACAATGTGCATGTGGATGTATGAAATCCTGCACCTGTGCACCACCTCAAAGGCCCTGGGCTGATGATTCCCAACGTAAATAACAACAAGCAACGGTTTCCCATGGTTTCAACGCGGCGTACTAATTGTGCCCATTAATTGTTACAGTAGTATAGCATCAAGTATGGTCAGCTTTGGTCATATCACTGGCTTTGAAACGATACCAAAGGTGTAGCCCCTTCCCTGGGGGAGGGGGATCATTTGGATCATTTTCGAACACCGATGTCCTGGATCATTTTCGAACACAGACGGGGTCATTTTCGAACACATGGGGGGGGCTATCCTGCGGCACCCGTGGGGTGGGGTGGGGGGTGGGGTGGGGCAGTTACGTTCGCCTCTTACTGCGTGACCGTGCCACTGCGTCCTGGGGTGGGGGTGGGGGTAAAAATAGTAAAAGGAGAATTCAAAGAATTATTCTTTCTACTATTTTTTCCAACAGCAACACAACAAACAGAAAACAAAATCCAGAACAACAAGCAAACAAAATAAATAATCACAACCAGCAACAAAAATATTTAATCACAGCATACAACATTAAATAATTCAATCAAGCATACCAACAAAACAGCAACACTCTAAATCATCAAAGAACCCAAACTCAAAAACACACATCAACAAAAAACAAAGCAACATACCAACAAAAAATATCATAAGAGTATCAAGCAAAACAAAAACAAACAGTCAAAGCACGAGAAAATTGAAGAAGCATGCCAAGTCTAAACAACGCACTTTGAAAGAGACAAGCAAATTAGGAAAATATAATAATTCAATCTTTACAAACGATAAATATATTACAATTATAACATATAATATTTTACATGTTATTATTATAGTATGGTTTTAATCAAAGTCATTAGTATTTAAATATTCCTTTGTAATCTTTGGTATTTGTTTAAAGTTCTGTTTATTATTTTTAAATGGATATTTTCTATCAGCAAAATCATAAATGCAAAAATCTATGCCCCAGTTTCCTAAAACACTTTTAATATCATTTATCACATCACCATATATTAATTTACCTATTATATTGTTCTTCTGTTCATCCTTAATATAATCACATATTTTATCAATTATGATTTTCAATTCTTGGTTTCTTTGTTTTATGTAGTTTAAAAATGTTTCCTTGCAATCATTTTCAATTTTATTATTTGATAAATCATACTCATCAATAAATTTAAATATCATTTTATCATTAAATTCTTCAATTGGTCTTGTTGTTCCAGTTTTGCCACCATAACTAACTTCATATGATTTTTCGTAGTAATATTTAATATCATTATAAATTTTTAAAATATATGTTTCGTTATCTTGCAGCATATATTTTTCACTTTTTCATATGTAGGAAATGTATTTAACTTTACAAAACAATATGTTCTTAATGATGAGTCATCATTGAGAAATGTATTTTCTTCAAATTCCAATTTGTATGTATCATAAATACATTGTCTCAATGTTGAATGTAAATTACTTTTATGTAAAACTTGCTTTGCATTTCTTAATAAAACACATTTCTCGCATTCAACATAATTAAAATCACAAATGTTTTTAACAATCGGAATAGGTAAATTTAACTTAGTTAGTCCAGTTTTTTCATTTATTAGTTTACATTTACAACTACTGATAATGTCATTAACTTTTATTTTATTCAAAAAGTCATTAATAATTTCTTCTTGCTCTTTTTTAGTAAATTCAACCATTTCTATTATAATATATTAAGTCAATATTTCTTTAAGTCGTTTTCAAAGAATTTATTTTATAATGACCATAAGCAAGTGAGTTTACACTATCTATCCAATATTTTTTGTTTTCATAACTACTAAGAGCAATTTTTTTAGTTGCTATACTAAAAATTGTGTGGTTTTTACTTCTAATACTATTAAATGACTTATGTATAACCTTATTAGTTTTTAAAACCGTCTCAAACTCTTCATATTTCATTTGACGTCTTACTGTGCCTTTTGCTATGCCCTTACATTTCTTATATTCTTTTTCATCACCAAAAATTGAGTAAGCGTAGCATTTAGGACGAAGGGCTATAAACCCTGTTATTATTTTGCTTTTTAATTCATCCTTAAATTTACCTAATACTTTCTTGTTATTCTCATCATAACATTTATGTTCCTTAGGATAATCTGAAAAATCTATTTCTTTTTTAATTGTATTCAGGTCTTCATAAATGTCATTGGTTTTAGTATGAAATACAAAACTATCAGTATCAGTATATACCATTTTAATATTATCTCCATATTTAGGTTTCATAACGTCATAATAAAATTTATACATGTGTTGCTTACTCAAATCTAAAATACTCATCCCAATAAATATAGGTTTGTCTAGTTTCAACTTTGTTTTTTGCTTTTCAACTCCAACCAAATTTTCATTAATGATATGACTATGTTTGAAGTTAGGATTACTTACACACTTCATATATCTAGTTTCATCACTCACAACTTCAAAGTCTAAATGTTTTCGCTTATCCTCCATTGTTTTTCCAAATATGGCATTGTTCATCAATTTATAAACATCTTTCTCAAAATCATTTCTAGCATTCTTCCTCTTCTCAGTGTTAAACTCAATGTAAGGTTTTAAAACTTCTTTTTGTTCAAATTTAATTGCTCTATGAATTTTCTTAAGTTTTAACCCTTGCTTCAAATAAAATTGTAAGGTTCTTATATGGATTACATATTTTTCTTTATCATTTAAATTCAATACTAATTTATTTGTTTTCTCATCCGTAGGTTTTTTATGATTTAAAAATTCATAAATTTCAATTTGTTTATCTGACAGCATGTCGGCTTTAACATTCATAACCTCAGGTGCCATTGGATAGTCATTGTGTAAATCGTGTAATTCTTTAGGATATTCTAAATCCACTTCTAGAATATATCCAATATTATTATTCTTATAATTAATAATGTCTTCTTCTTTTAATGTATCATCCCATTTTAGATTTTTATATGGCAGTTTTTGTATCATGCTTAACCCGTACAAATTATTAGCATCAAAATAGTTAATATAACTACTTTCTTTATTTTTATCATATTCTTCTCCCATGTATTTATTATTTGCTTCAACTTTTTTAGTAGAAACCATACACATCCCGCCTCTAAGTCCCGCTTCTATCATTTCATACATTTCTCGGTCATATATTAAATCAATCTCTACACCAGTCATTTTAAGCATAGCATCAAAAGCAAAGTTAGGCAATGTATAATAATAAGCAGGGTCCAATCCATAATATTTCATACATACATCTCTAAAATTTTCGAAAATGTCAGTCAATAATAATACATCAGTTTTCAAATATAAATCATGGTATTCACCCATATTCTTAATGTCGAAATGCTTCCATATAATTTTTGCCCTTTCATAGTCGTTAACACTTATACCTTCTTCACTCAACTGACTATAAAAATCATCCTTACTCGGTAATTGCTCATCATCAAATTTATCAAATGAATTCATGTAGTCATAAGGATAAACGCCTTTATCAGTTAATAAATCTAGACATTTCTCACTCTTAACCAAATCATTTTTACTACTAAACCTAAAATTATCTTTCCAGTTTTCACGCAATAACCATTTACTTTTATCTTCTTCATCTGTATTATCATACTTACTCATTGAAACTAACTTATCTAATGAAGCAGTTAAAAACCCAAAAGTGTCTTTAACACTCAAACTTTCAAAACTGATATTAATAAATTTTTCACTGTTCTGAGCGATGACACCTATTTTACTGTTGTTACTTAATTTATCAGCATTTTGAATAATTAAATGTCCGTCATAATTTTTCATGTTATGAAAGAATACTGGAATTTTAAAATATCTATTACAAAAATGACAATGGTCTCTAACTTTTCTATATTTCTCTGCTTCCTTGGCATTCTTATAGTTCATTCTAAAATTATCTCCACAAATAAAGCAGTTTTTAGCATGTTTAAAATCTTCTTTGTCTTCATCATTCATGTCTATTTTTTCGTTTTCTCCCATCTTCTCCCTTACTTCTGCCCTAATGTCATTAAGTTTTTGACAAAACACATCAACAGCATCTTTACCACGATACATAAATTCATAATTTGTATTATCAACAGCATTAACCATATTAAGCATAAAACCACATGGTTTATGCTCTTGATAAGAAAAAGTGTTTTTATCTTCATCTTCATCAGGTTTTTTCAGTTCCTCTGTCAAACATTCAAAATCAGCATATACAACAAAAGGACACCTTAACTTTTTGAAGTGATGCTTAAAACTAACTTTCTCATAAGGCTTAGGCATTACTATTTGTTGACCATCAACTTCCATGCATCCACTATCATAATGTTTATTTAATAATTCTTCATTTCTAAATCCATGATTACAATATTTACAAAAATAGGACTTACCATTATGATTACTTTTTTGATTATTAATAAGTCTGCTCAAACTTTTTATATACACATAATGACTGCAATCCTCCTCATCAACTCTCAACAAATCAAGATGACAAGAAGCATCTTTATTTTTCAATTTTCTACTAATAACAATTTGTTCATTATCATCAATTTCATAAACATTAATGGATATTGATTTATTATTTTCTTCAAATATATCTATATCATTATTATTAGCAGGAAAACTCACACCATCAAAAATCAAATCACTTGCTATCTTCTTGTAATGAAACATCTTTTCAGGGTGTGCTTTATCACAAATTTTACAATATCCACACTCAATAGAATATTTAAAACACTTGTCATCTTGATTTTTAATATTGATACATGCCTTTTTCTTTTTAATCCATTCTGGAAGTTCAATATATTTGCCAGCTCTAGTCGGATTATATTTATTATACATGATATGAATATTATTAATATTGCTAATTATTAATCCTGACTGATACAAAGCCATATC